ACGAGTGTAACCGACCGCTCTTTGGGACGATGGCATGGATGCTCCATTACCTGAATATTTCAATCCTGTGTTTGTGGAAACGTAACTGGAAGAACCTACTGCTTGAGGTCGAGGCATAAAAACATTGCTTTCTAGGAGACTGGGACCCACAGTACTTTCTTGATTGCTTGCATTGAAATCGGAATACGGAGGAGGAGGATCGGAGACATCCGGATCTTCAAGTGTGCAGCCTTCCACAGCAAATCCAGTGTAGGACATTCGTGGAACAAACATAGGTTCCAAGTTATCTGTTGGCATCTGCCTGCTTAAAATTGCTTGCTGCATTCCTACAAAAGCAAAGAACATTGGTGTATTTAATGCTTACTTTGCAACATGCTTTACATAACCCGGGTGTAACATCGCACACCCCGCCCTCAGCTCTTCTCTGTCTTGCTGGTGGTTGTTATTAAATGCTAATCCCTGGCATTGCTTCCAGACTCCAGCACTGGATATTCTCCTCTCAGCCTCTACTATTCATCTTTCACATTTCTGAGTTTTGCATTGATGACTACAGAAGACACTATCCCTCACCATCATCTTACATCTTGCTTATTACTAACTACATCCTCCTCTTCAAGCTTCACAAAGAATACCTTCCCTAAATTTAGCAGGGCGCCCATGACACTCATCAGTATTAGCAGAACTTCACCATCCCAGTGATCCCATTTCAAAACCAAAAGATGGCAGAAAGCAAATAATCTATCCAAGAGCAAGTGTGCTGCATTTTTATGTTCACAGTCATCCTGTGCAGTTTGTTTCCTCCAGTTTAACTCCCCTAAAAACACAGCTGCAGGAAGTTTCCATAACCTGCTGCTCTTTCCACCTCATCCTCTCTCTTTATTTCTCTGTTGCTTCTCACATCAAGAAGTAGCTCTGCCAGGACTCACTGTGCCTGCTTGTCCTGGTTTCAACTGGGAGAGAGTTAGTAGCTGGTCAAGTGCTGTGCTTGGCTTTAGTCTGAGAACAGTGCTGATAACACACTGATGGTTTAGTTGTTCCTAAGTAGTGCCGACCCTGATCAAGGACTTTTCACTCTCTCATGCTCTGCCAGTGAGGAGGGGCACAAGAAGCTGAGAAGGAGCACAGCCAGGATCTAAGCTACCCAAAGGGATATTCCATACCACCGCACATCATGCCCAGTATATAAACTGGGGGGAGTTGGCCAGGAGGGGCCAATCACTGCCTGGGGACTGGCATGGGTCAGTGGGTGCTGAGCAATTGTGTTGTGCATCACTTGTGATTTAGTTTTTAAATGTTCATTTCTCCATATTTTTTTTTTCTTTTGGACCCTGTTATTAACAAAATCATTGTTATTATTTTTATTATTATTACATTTTACTTTATTTCAATTACTAAACTGTTCTTATCACGGGTTTTACCTTCTTCCAGTTCTCCTTCCCATCCCACCTGGGCGGGGGTTAAGTGAGCAGATGAATGGTACCTAGTTGCCAGCTAGGCAGGGATGCCTCACCTACACCATGTTGCCCGAGGCTCTGTCCATGTGTCATTCTTAACTTCTGCTGGCATTAAAAGTCTACGCTCCCACAATAACTTGTATTTAGATTTTCAACTAGCCAGCTGAGCAAGACTCATCCTTTGAAGCTGGGTTTCTATAGCCTTGGCACAGTGAACCACCATCAGGGCTCTGGCACTAGTGTGACACTGCTATGTTGTTCACTGTACTGGAAAAACTGGACACCATCACTGATATTTGTCCCCTATGAAAGGCCACACATAATGGGTAAAACCACCACGTCCACATTTTGATTTCTATTTAAGTCATTGTACAGTTAAGACAGTGGCTATAAACATTGTTTTCCACTAAGGACAGGGGCTCTTTCCAATCCATGTGGTTTTAACAATTAAAGCAAGACCAAAAGCCACGGGTATGTGTTGCCTTTAAGGATTTCACAGCACCTCCATGTTTCATAAGGAACAGACAGCAATATAAGCACTATGAGGACTAAAAATAAATAGCTGAAGAAGTGGTTAAAGAACAACTGCAATGGACTCATCAAGATGAAGCTCCCACAGCTCTGCACCAGAACTATACTCACATCAACCACCTAAATGATGGAATTGCATCATGCTTATTAAAATTACAGATGGCACCGTGCTAGTAATAGCTGCAAGTGTAACAGTACCACGACAGGAATCTGATCTTAAATGAGATGATTTAGAAACTCATTTCAGGAAGATATGCACAGGAATAATGAACTGCACAAACTGCGAGATGAGGAACTGCGACATCCTTCTGCAGGTTGACTGGTGATTTATGTCAGCTTTAAATCTCAACATGCATTCAGTGTGCTCAGCTGGTGAGAAACTGCATTATTTCAGTATGTGCTGTAATGCCTACAACTGGAATACTGCATCTCATTTTGAACACCACAGCTGAATAGGAAAAAGATGGAGGAACTCTATAAAACGACTTGTTAGAGGTCCAGATATCACAGAATCATAGAATAGTTTGGGTTGGAAAGGATCCCCAAAGGTCATCCAGTCCAAACCCCCTGCAAAGAACAGGGATATCTTCATCTAGATCATGACCTAAGAGGAAAGACTGTAATAACTGGCATATTATGAGAAGACAGAGGAAAGAGTTTCAGTCTTCAAATGTACATAAGAGGTTGCTGTAGAAAGGTAAGCAGGAAGCAGCTTGAATTAGAGGTGTGGACATTAGACATGAGGAAAAACTTCCTTGCTGTAAAACCATGCTACTGGAAAAGGCAAAAAACAAGGCTGAAGAGTTCCTTTAATCAAGTCATTCCTTTCAGGAATAAAAATTCCCTCAAGTGCCTATGTAACGGCCTTCATTCCTGATCCACAATACAAGAACTGGGAGATCTCCTGGCACCTGGGAAGTGCATGGCATTCACTACCCCTCAAACATGCTCCTCCAGACACAAAATCATTTTAGTGATCTGGCAAGTAAAGCCTCAACTGATTTTCATGCAGGAGTGTTAAACTCTCAACCTGGTAACCAAGAATTCAGAAGAACAAGCAGCTTTCCCATAACACCACCACAGGAATTTGAATCCCTTTCCCTCCAGCTCAGGGAATGATTAAGTGGAACATTTAACTCTCTAAACCCAAGGAAATTCTCCCGCTATTGAGAAAGGGAGAGAACAGAAGGCCAGCTTCAGTATTTAGGTACTCACAGCTAAAAATACTGCAGGGATCCAAGCTGCATGTTTTCTTGGTTCAGCCCTCTCACATGATTCTCTGCTCTGGCATAAATTTTCAGTGCAGCATTTGCATCTTTGCTGGTAGTACCTAGAGGCTAACACCGACTGCTCTTCCTCCTCCTCCCCCAACTTTTGCCATATGGGCTGGGATCAGCTCCAGTCACACTAAATACCCAGCTCTGTTTCTCACCAGCACATGTAGTAGCAGTTCCCTGGCTGTTTCATCTACAGCCAAGCAGGAAACAGCAGTGACTCATGCCACTTCCACCTTTCACATGGGCTGTGGCTGATGCTGGCTCTTCACCTTATCTCTGAGGTTCAGAGAAGGAAGAACTTGGGCTGACGGGTCAAACTGTGCTCTGAAATGCTCATGTGATAACAGGAAAAACTAAAACCAGCCAGTCATAGCAGCAGAGGGGCCTGTTGCACAGTTTAGGGTGTTAACCCATCTTCTAGTCTCAGATACAGCTTTAGATAACAAGATAAACAGACAAAAAACATCTTGTAGTGAAAACATCACTGGTTATTTGCTTACCATCTCAAAACAAGGAAGAAAACTTCAGCAAACACTGCCTCTGTGTGCTTTCTGGCCTACCCTCTGCTCCTACTCTCCATCTTCAGCCTTCCCCTACCTCACAAATTAAAGCAGATCAGCAATGCTTCCATAGGAAGGGCCAGGCTCTTCACAAACACCTACCTACTGCTAAGCAAAAGTCTCTTGAAGCCACATTCCATCCCTAGGAAGGAGGAAGCAACCAGGCAAGTACGCTCACACAACAGGCCTCACGGATTCAGAAAACCATGGAGCAGCAGCAGAAGGTGAATATACACCTATTACTACCAGTCCTGAGTACATGCTGTGAAAACTTGCATTGTTAATAGAAAATGCAGAACCAGTCCTAATAAAGCCATGGATTTTTAATGGGACTTATTTGCATCATGGAAAGTTAAACCCAATCAACTTGATATGAATAAAGGTCTTCAAAACACAGCAGGAGTATAATTTCTCCATTCAGAGCTTCCCTAGAAAGACTGTACTGATTGTACTGCCTTGAATAAATATTATCTTGAATAAAGAATTACCCAATTTGGCTTCCCACAACACACTGGCTATAGACAGTAGCTCTAAACCTGCAAGAAGGACATTATTTCTGTGGTTTCATGGACTTAAAGCTACTACAGATTGAAACTCCTACCCGTGATGATATGGTACTTGAAATAGGCAGGCAAATTCCAACAATATTCTGCATTTAAATAGTTCCTTCCACTTTCTAGCAGATACTCCTGAAGCTAGGAATGACTTCAAAATGGACTTTTGGGAAGATTTAGTTCAACACTGAATAGTGGTGTTTCAATTCTAGTCATGTTCATCACTAAGTCAGCAAATAATGCAATAAATGCTAAGTCAGGATTCAGTAACTATAAAATGTGAGGAAAGGATAACAATGTACATAGTCTGCTCTAAATCAATACTGAAAAACCCAATACAGCCACGAACAGCTACAGGGTCAAAAATCATCTAGACAGTACCCGAGACCTACATCAATGTTCATCACTTCTGCACTCGTCATCCTTCATCCAGTTTGTCTGGTGCCCAGTAACAGAACTGAACTCTAACTTCATTAGTGCTGGGCTCGTATCTGGGAATGGGGTTGGGAGTGGGAAAGGGAATAAAGATTCCAAAAAGCCACTGATAGCTGCTGGCCTGTAAACACAGTACCCTGTCTCTATGAAATACTGCAAATGGCATCTCTCCAGTGTTTAGCTTTGCTTTTTCCATTCCTGGCTTTGCTCCACTTTTCCTTCCCTACAACTGATGTTTTCCTCTGTTAGTTCCAGAATTGACTTGTTTGTTCTTTCTCTACAGCTTTTTCTCTCTCCTCTGTTTAAAGTATGCTCACGCTGGATGACTCCTACAGAAACACCTGAAGTACACATCCTTTCACACGTCAGGTATCATTCACTATAAACCCATCCTATACCCTTCCCAATGTGATTTATTTTTCCTCTTGCTATGACCTATCACAAATACAATTCAAAATAATTCTTCAAGATATTTTTTCCTTACAACATCTGAAAACAAAAACAATTAAAAGGCAACTTACTTATTTCTTGTTCCTTTTCACTTTTCTTTTGGGCGATTTGCCTTTTTAACTTGTCTACATCAGCTTGAAAAGATTCAACCACACGTTCACTTTTCTCTACATCTATACATACTGCCTAGGAGAAAAACATGAGATATGCAAAGATGTTGCAGAAATACAGGAAAGACTTTCACGACCACATTAATAAAGCTACAACCAGACAGGAAACCATTCAAAGCATGAAACTAAGATCAGGAGTTAATGATATCACAGAGTAATATTCAACCTGAAGATGGTTTTCCTCACTGGCTGTTGCCAATTCCCAACTGCTGCACAATAGGAAAAGCATTTCCAAATAATTCATTGTTACAGGAAGACTTGTACTAAGATCCAAACTTAGTTCTTCCTACGTAGTGCAAGAGAGTTTTCTTTTTAGTACACTGTTGTTAGCACAAGAATGCTATAGTAGCATGATTAAAATGTAGCATAAAGGCATCTAGACCAAATTTGGATAGAGGTATGAAACACTTGACTCAGGACAACTGTCCCAAGTTGTCTTGGGACTGGTATCTCTTAAATAAACAAGACCATGGATTTTCCAACAAGATTTCCCTAACCTGGTTGGAAAAGAATGTAAAATTTTCATAGAAGGCTCTTAAGTTTAAAACCAGTTCAGAATAATATTGATTTATTTCTTAATCTAGACATATCATAGTGCATATTATTTACTTATTTCCTCAGAAATTCAGCATTGGTCACTACACGTATGATCAGGTTTGAAGCGTACACAACTCTCAAAGCACTGATGAGTCTTAAACCAGTAAATCACTACCCATTTACTTGTCCTTCTCCAAAAGGTTACTAGTAGTGATCTTACCAACAGAGCTGAAAAACATTAACCATGCTTTCTGCTCCATATCTCATTCTCATATAAGATTATATAAACTCTCCCAAGTAATTTGTGATGAAAATCATATTCCCTGTACTGGAAATAAGAAAACTCATCTCCAGTCTTGTCACATTCTCTGTGAAACAGTCATTTTAAAGATAGGAGCTCCTGGAGCTAGCTAACACCTAAGTTACTTTTAAGGTCTGTAAACAATGTAGAGCAGCATGATTTACATGGTGAAATACACCAAGGTCACAGTTTTAACAGGTAGAAGACAACTCCCTGATTGATGTTGCATTTTCCAGACACCAATTCAAACAGCAGCAAGAGCATGAAAGGATGTATGTGCTCTTGGCAAAAACAAGCTTACAGAATGCCATTAGCTAATGGGATAGACCTCTGACAGTAAATGTTCATGTCTCCTGAAGCTGGCACAAAAGCTGCCTGCCTTCCCATCGCAAGTTGCTCACCTTACAAGGCAGGGTAGAAAGCAGCAACTTCCACCAAGAAATAGTAGCTCTCCTGCGCAAGCAGGGCAGGGGATGGTTGGAGGAATTACTACCTTGTTCTCTCCTGTACGTGCCAACCAGCAAAGCTGGAGCAGAGACACAAATCCCTCCAGGGCAGATGTAAGGGGAAAGCCTGGCAATAAGCTGTGACTACAGCACAATTAGCAGATGTGTGTGCTCCTGAGGGAGCAGAGCTTCGCTGCTCTTCACACAGGACAAGCTGTGAACTGACAAGCTCACATTTAGTAGATTTGACACTCCGGGCACTTTCAGACGCTTTGCTACATTTGGAGCAGGATTCACTCATGCTCTACACAAAACATTCACAAGTTTTAACTAACAGATGGAGCTCTTTGCTGCATGCTACATACTAAGAGCCAGGAGTCATTTTGAAACTGAGACAGGCAAGCCTTTAAACCTGTGCAAATCCCCACAGCCTTCAGCAAGGCTTTTCTTCAACACATGCTCTTAAAAATAGCTGATGTCTCCCAGAAATCCCTGAGCATTAAATCATTCTTACTTGCAAAAGAGAAAGAATTGGTGCTATTTAGATCAACCAGTTCTACAGCAGCCTTTGCAAATGCACCCATTAGCTAGAACCTGGCACATTCCATCATTACTCAGACTTATTTCCCTACAGTTCATAATAAATTATGAGCAATAACCACTCCTGGCTTAGCCAAAGGCCAAACAGAAGATGCCACATCCATAGTGAGCAACATTAACTAAAGGAAGTTACCTGTACTTTTTCCTGAAGTGCATTATAAACCTGATAGATAGCCCTGATGTCCTTCATCACTCCATCTTTGTCAAAAAAGTCAGTACTAAAAAAGAAGCAGAAACCATTAGTCAGAAAAGCCAACACAAGGTTCCAGCTCATGCTGCCTGTGAATTGCCTGTGAATATATATATAACCATATATAAAAGATGTACTTTATATTGCTAAAAAAAAAAATACCATACTCCCAAAAACCAAAATTTGGACAGCAGCATGTTCAATACCAAAAATTCCTTCTGGAACAAGAAAGTCCGATTGGATGAGATTGAACTTGTGTAGAAATCTTTAAGCTTGTATAATGTCAGTGTTAACAGTCTGAAGAGCTACTTTAATGCTGCGTTTACTTAAAATTGCTTAAGAAAACAAGACTTCAACACTTCCAAGTCAGAATTCAGGTTTTAAACTGAGATTACAGACAGAATTCTTCGGAGGGGGTGTGGGTGGAAATAAACCAAGCAAGTTCCAGCCAGAAGGTCCATAGCACCAACTGGCCATAGGAACCCCACTTTTCAGATCACTGCACTGAATCCTCTTTGTCCTTCTGAAAGATTCAGTTCTAAACAGGAAAAAAAACACACTGGATCTGACCATTCTCCTCCAAAATTAGTTTTTTTCCTGCTTGAAATGGGTGTTTGTAGTGTCCTTTGGAAGGTACAGAAGGTAGAGCTTGATGCCTGTGCTTCATTTGCAAAGGAAAAGTCCTTACCCGTGTTCCTTAATAACTTTGGCATAACTCTGAGAAGTATTTGGCACTGAAGAAACTTTGTATTCCTGTTGACTAGTGTTGCCTAGATTAGGAATAGTAAGTGACACTCTTTGATTATACCTGCAGAGAAAGTGCAGAAAGACTTCTTAATTCATTTGCAAAAGATTATTTACAATAGCCTTGGTATTATTATCCCAGCTCTCCGATGATCCCAAGTCCTCTAAATTCAAATCTTCTGCATTAGGTTCATTATAAAAGCTGCTAAATATTAGAAGTCATGTTCAAAATAAATACATGATAAACTCCCTTGAGATGAACTTACCTCTGTGCCTCTTAGAACCTTTGAACTGGGCATTCAAACTACTACAGATACAAGGGTGAAGCTATATTCAGGTCTACTATAATGAATGTGGTACTGACATCTGATTTCTCTTAAAAATCTTTTGTCATTGATGTTGTCTGAAGATTTAAAGACTGAAAATAACTTTTGCTCATCCCAAAACTTTATTACTTGCACAGGAAAAAAAAAAAATAGCTGTCACAGAAACAGAGACTGGTTTGGGTTGGAAAGGACCTTAAGATCATCCAGTTCCAACCCCCTGCCATGGGCAGGGACACCTCACTCTAGACCATGGTGCCCAAGGCTCTGTCCAATCTGGCCTTGAACACTGCCACGGATCCCTAACAACTGTACACCAAGACATCACTTGGCAATCACAAAGCCTTCTTTATGTGTAAAGAGACTGTACAAACTCCAAAATAGTCCTGAGTACAAAGAACAGAAAGAAGCAGCAGAACAAACTATGAGTATTGGTTCATATACAGACATTGCTTACCTTCGGTTTGGTCTAAAAAGCACATATTCTAAAGCATGTGTTGAGTTATTTGCAGTGGAAATGAAGCTGAAGAGGAGGAAGACAAGATCAGGCACTCCAAGAATATGGGTCAGCTGTTTATGGATGATGTGTTCTCTATATGACATTTGCTGCTGAGTGTTTCTCCTAAATCTGTACCACCCGATAACGTTCTGTAATCAAAGTACATCAGAAAAAACCCGAAGTATTAAGTGAGAGATACAGATTTACCTTCTGATAATGAAGTTGCTGAAACTCTGGTATCATGTGAATTAGCCAATAGCTTTATTACAATAAAATCAGCCTGAATTACTACAGGTTTGAACCTATTAACCTGAAACAAGTGACAACTTATTACAACATGCCTAATTAGTGCTCCACCTTGCTGTGCTACAAACATGCAAGTGCTAGTCAAGATCCCACTTCCAATATCCTCCAATTGTTCCATTTTAGCAACAAAACCTTGGAGCATCATCACATTATTAGACTTGAGCTGTTTTCACTCACAGCAGATGTGGGGTTTCCATAGCACTAAGTATTTCAACTGCCTATTCACTTGTGTTGATTTGTAAGACATTTCCAGTGCTTCACAAACATGTTTGCAAACTCATGGCTGTTGATGAGACACATGGGACTAATCTGCTGTGTACAATAAAATTACTTCACTGTATATTGAATTATGAAAGATTCTTATGCAGATCAGATAAGATCCATTCTAACTCCATGATTCTATTGTATACAACACGTATTCAACTCCTTTCCTTCATGTAAACTAACATTTAATTGAAGAGAAGGACTTGAAAAAGGACTCCTCATGAGCAATTTGGGTTAGGAAGAGTCTCAGGAATAGGTACTCTCATGTAATGATGCATTAAGACTGCATGTATATATTCAGTGGGATAGAGCAGATTCTACATATTTTACATCTTGCCAGAGCCTCCCTGCAAGGTAGATCCTGCCAAAGCAAAATTCAACTGAAAACTAGTGGGAGACAGTTTTTACTTGGTTTTTGTCTTGTTCCCTGAAATGGGAACTTACTATAGTGTTCTAGAGGAGAGTTATGCGGTTACAGAATTCAGGATTTGAGACTGGCAACTCACTCCATCATCAGCATATAAACATACATGTCTGTATGTTTATATACACACCCTTTGTATGTATATACACCCAAAGCACCTATGTACTCAGCATAAATATGTTAGTATACACAGAGGAGTTTATTCTTAGAGCACTTTCTGGAAGAAACAAGACAAGAAAGAAGCATTACAACCATCTGTGCAGAAGTTGCACAGATTAAGGACTTGCTCCCCTAAAGATCCCTCCTCCTTGTCTGCAAGCAAAAGTGAACAGAAAATGAAGACTGCAAATGCACTTAGCAATTGAGCAATGCTTTGCATAAGGATTCACACAGTAGGCATTCTTACTCAGAGGAGTAAGAGTTACAGTTGAGTCACCTGTAGGGGACTGAAATCCCAAGAGTTGGCCATGCCCTGGCAGTTTACTACTAGTGAAACACAACCAGCACTGCTACGAGCAGCTGGAACGATGTTGCTTTGATGCTGCTTGGTAAAAATCAGTCAAACAAGAAAAAAAGGTCCTATTTTAATCACTCTGGCACTAAACAAACCTCATCAGCCAAATTCATGTACTAGATGCTTTCCTGCTACATCTAACAAGGTCCACAGTTGCCATTAATTGTACCATGCAAGTTGTCATCTGTCCTCCTGCCAGAGCAAAGCGACTGGTGGATTCACTTCCCTACCTGAGGAACCACATCTGCAGCTCTGTTCTTTGATGTATCAGTGCAGAACTTCTGAATCAGTTATTTAGTAATCACAGATAGTGCACTACAAGTGTGGAAGGAAACCTTGAAAAAGGTTTGACACATAACTCCTAAAACTGAATCTTCTTAACACTGGTTGTGCTACTAACAACATATGCATGATGTAAAGCAATGACAACATCTGACGTAACTGATGGAACAGTTTGTCCAGTTTAAACCTGACAGCGCAAAAATTGCAATTATCCTTACAACCCTTTAAAACAAATTCTTTAGAACAGGTTTTCAGGTCAGCTACACCTTGGTTTCAGCAGCAGAGGACACAAACATTATGCTCCATGTGTAGCTCAGAAATGAGTGGGTCTCCCTTCACTTTTGGAGAGTTAAGCTTAAACCCTTTGCATTCCTTCAGGGAATTCAGACTTTACCCCACCTAAGTGCCACAAATCCACCAACTGCTGTAGACAATAAACCTTGGGTCAAACTAAACGATCAGTATCAGATGAAGGTATTAGTTCTAGTTAGCTACTTCTGTTTTGCAAACCCATCTTTCTAGTTAAAGGCTCTAATGACCAGAAGGAGGAAAAGACAGAACTTACTTTTCTTCGGTCTTTAAGAATCCTGTCCAAACTCTCCTCATTAACCTTGCCTGCATAGTCATAAAAGCTTGAACCAAAAAAGGAAGAGAGAAAGGTAGGTACATAGTTTACATACACACATTATTATTCAGAATTTATACTGTTCTTCAAATAGATGACATTCTATACATCACAAAGCAGATTCTGTAGTTTTACCTTTACCAACATAGGTCAGTATCCACACCACCTACTTAGGAGATCTGACTCTGGTGCCATATAGAGCACAGTTAGAAGCCTTGGTTTGAATAGAGGCAGTTGCTTACAGAGGAGAGTGCAGAGCATTGCAATTAGATGCGTAAGAGTAGCTGGAGCAAAAACTCTAACCACTTTTAAACCACTAGTAATGAAATACAAGAGGCCTGTAATTATTAGGTTTAAAATGCTTTCATTGCACAATATTAGTTAGATGCTTAGTATTTCCCTGGCAGCCCCTACAAGGAGTATGTATGTCATGGACTGTGTCGTTTCATTCTGACCAGCAACCTGCTCTGATAAGGAGGTCTCCCTGCCAAAGAAGAAAGGAAAACAGGGCCATTTACATGCAGCTGCAAATCCATTCGTTGAGCTCCAGTCCTGCAATTACACTCACATGATTGGACTCTTGAAGTCAAAACAATTACCCTGAGGTCAGCAAGAACCCAAAGTATCATGGTCTTTCCATCTGGCTCTGCTTATAAAACTGAGGCCCAAACCCTAAGGTGTTCTTTAGAGGCCATGACAGACTTCAGAATTTATAAATCTATCTACACAGAGAGGTTTATAAATTCAAGTAGATCACACTTCTTGAGCAAAGAGAAAACGTCTGAAAATCAGTTCCTCCTTCACTTACCTGCCAAGTCCTTAGCCAAGAGCTGCTACCACTAACACCTAAAGCAGTGCAGGAAAACACTCTGGTTTAGAGGTCTGTGATCTCAACTCTTGTGGGGGGGGTAAAAAAACACAACAGAAAATCCTAAGCTCAGTACTTGGCTGGTAAATAAGGGTGGAAATAAGATTTGTTTCAAGTTCTTGTGAATATTAAGGCTACAATTAATTACTAATTTGAGATACTACATAACATTTGCATAACCTTTCAATTCATGTTCACAGTATTTATGCATTCCAGTAAGTACTGCATATCCAATTCTTCCTCTTTCTGTGCTTTATAAGAACAGTTTTCTTATGGACTGAGCAACTAGTATGTAACAAAACACCTTCATCTGAGAACTGCACAGAGAAATCAATCCTTTTAAAAGCCTTCCTTCTTATTCAGTTCCCACATGCTGGTAAAAGCACTGGAACCAAGCCTGTTATGATGAGTGGATGAGCATTAGGCTTTATCAGACTGGCTATGCTGAAGTCAAAAGGATAAGGCAGAAATGCCCCAAAATCAGCACCTGCTACAACTAACAGAGAAACTAACAGCCTGCTCTGTTCTTGATAAAAGCTGTATGAAGTGTGAGAGTTTCCCCTGTGCTCTGAAGTAAATGAATTCATCAGTTTTCTTGTGCAGAAATCATACAGTGAAACAGACTCCTTCCTCCCTCAGCTCAGTTACTAACAACCAGTTTCTTGACCAGGGAGAAGCACTCAGTGTGAGGGGGTTTGATGTGAGCTGCATGAAGCATCCCTAGGAACCACAAAGAGCCTAGGAGAACCTGGGATGTTACCTTGCTGTGGAGTCTCTAGCATTTAAAACACTGAGTTGAGAGTATCCTCTCTGTAATTATCAGATAGCAAATGACAGCCTGCAGCTTTTCTTTCTAAGGCAACCAATGGCAACCATCATATCCAAGGTACTGAGTCTAAAGTGGCCAGGAACATCTAAAGACAGACAAGAGGAGAGTAACTGGACATTCCTTCTACAAAGACTAATTGGGAATTCCTTCTAAAAGGAATTTATAGACAGCAATTTAGAAGCCATCACTCTGTAACAGTGAAGACTCTAGAAAAAAGCTACACATAAATAGATGGAAGCTGCTAAATAGAATATATTAGACCTGTAGTTAACTTACAATCTGGAGTACAGGAGATCAGAAAGCAGAAGTAATGAGTAAGCTGAAGGTTTCAGAGTAATTAATTGGTGCAAGTGAGTACAACTAACTAGAAAGCAGCCTGTTAACAGCAAGTTACTAAGGTGACTTAGCAGAGGCCCAAGCAGAGCTAAGCTCAGACTACATTGATCGAAACTGGTTTTGACATTCATCCTCATTATCAGAGTGAGATGATTTGATCTGACTGCTACTCTACCTCCACTAACTACAAGAGGTGGAAGAGCAGAGGGATAGAGAAATAAGCCCAGAGAGGCCACCTTGGCACCCTTTCTAACCTAAGGTAAGTGCTACTAAACCCATAAACTCACTTTCAGTGCCAGAATTGGTGCTATTTACATGTATTTCTGTAATACCATCAGATGAGTAAGCAATGCAATGGTAGATACACGTGAAATGCTGATATAGTTCAGTCTTTATATTGTGCAGGCACCCCAGGAAGACAACAGAAAACACTTACCTAAAGAGTTTTGAACAAGGCTCGTGGTTATGGATTTCTGCAACACACAAACAAAAAGAGACTTATGTCCAGGTGCTGAAGGTAAAGAGAACATTCCAGGGGCAAATCTGGCATCAACTTTCCACATCACACCTACTGAGCAAATAATCATTTGTGTCACACCACACACTGCCCTTAAGGTCTCAACAAGAGCCGATGACTTGCACCATACCCAGAAAACAGACTTCTCTTTCTAGTCTGCTGTTTTACAGAGGGACATACTTTAACAATGAGCAAGACAGAGACTCGCTCAGAGACAAGATATATCTGAGCCTCAAATACACACTCATGGGTATTATTTTATAGTTGTGAGCTCCTCACAAAGGCATTTGTGATTTTTTTCTTTTTGACACACCTTTCCACAACAGTTTACTTGCATTTATAGACAGCGTGTATGACAATGGATAAAAACAGGAATGGGGAAGGGCATCACTGAAACATTACACACTGGAGTATTTAAAAGGCAAGGCAAATAGAATCTCTGATGAGAAAAGGGGTTAAAGACCACTCCAAAACAGCTGAAATTTTTGATTCTGCTATATGCAGTATTAAAAAGTCATTAAAAAGCAGAGTATTTTTCATTGAAGAGGTTGTAATAAATGCAATCATAATAAAATGAGTAACATGTAATAATGTAATAAAATGTAATAATCTCAGAGAATCCCAGACTGGTTAGGGATGGAAGGGACCTTAAAGCTCATCCAGTTCCATCAGGAGCAAAGAGCCAATCCACATCAACTCCCTAACACCAAGCATGACTTACAGATATTTTGTGGTACTTAATACTTCTTTTAAGCTCTCTTCTACTCTTTTTACCAAATACAGTTTATCCTTTATTCCCTTTATTATACCTCAATCACATAACTTTTGTCTGAAGCTGTATTTGCTCAGCCTGAATAGTACTTCTGTAGCAATATTACTTCAAGCTCTGATATTAGAACCCCACTGGAGCGCACAGCAACTTAGTGTTCAGGCTCTTCCCTCCTGGAGGATGAGTCACGACGTGCTGTTCTGAAAGGCAAAGCCTGCTCATCACTGCAGTGTCGGCACAGGCAGAATCACATCACAACTCCCAGGACCAACAGGCTGCACACACGAGCATCTCAGCATATTTAGCCACTGTCAAAACAAGGCCTTGAACACCCATGGCAGACGTGCTGCTGAGAAACTGCATTCCCACTGGCAACAACTCCTCATGATGCTGCTGTTTCAGCTGCTGACTGACTTTGTTTGGAACTGGATTGAGATGAGCTCCGAGGCAGAAGCTCTTCCCTGTGAGGGTGCTGAGGCGCTGGCACAGGGTGCCCAGAGAAGCTGTGGCTGCCCCATCCCTGGCAGTGTTCAAGGCCAGGTTGGACACAGGGGCTTGGAGCAACCTGCTCTAGTGGAAGGTGTCCCTGCCCATAGCAGGGGTTGGGACTGGATGAGCTTCAAGGTTCCTTCCAACCTAAACCAGTCTGGGATTCTGTGAATTGTTTAAAAGTCTAATCAACCCCATTACTTTCACACTGACATCCAGGAACCTGTGGAAACAATCTGCTAAACAAAACCAGCAAGTGGAATTACTTCATCTTAGACCAGCTCCTTACAGCAAATATGTTGACGAAGACAACTGAGAGTACATGCTTGAACCTTGGGTTATTATGTTGCTACACAGACCTTGTGCTTTGAAAAACAGGAAGCAAGAAGCCTACTGCTCAGATTGCATGAAGGAGCTATCATTCACCATTTAAGTTTTGCATCCTGACTTGTATTTTTATATATATAAAAAATACATACATATTTTTATAGAAATCTACGATATATATACACACATATACTCAAACACCACCACTGAGCTTTGAGACAACAGACAAGTAAGGCTATTAAAACTTATCTGTGACAACAATGCCTCAAAACTGTCAATCCCAGTTCATGAGTGGAACTGGGAATTCGAGAGTTAATGTCAATGGAGAAATACTGAGAGTAAAAATTTGGTGAACAATAAACACATCCAGCAGATCTCCTGGGGCAGAAATTCCAGTACAGATATTAACTGTAACCAAGGACGTGACAAGAGTTATCTAACAAGGGAGTAACTTTTAACACCACAAACACTTGGTTTATGAAAGCACGCTGAGGCAGCGGGTGGTGACAGTGCTTTATCACACTGACAACTACAACTAAGAGCAGTTATCACCGAGTAGTACCGTCTGCTTTTGTCTGAGCAGAGTCGTCAGCTGCCTGCCCTTATACAAGGCTTTGGTAGTGATTATATATCCACAAAACAAATCCTAGGCCTCTGGGTTTTGTGATTTAGCTCAATCGTAACTAGTTGACACTTCACACTGTCACTTTAGCACCCAAGTTTCCTTAGGAATAACTGCAACAGAAAACTACTTCACGTTCTGGATCCTTGAATACACAACCATCACTAATTTAAGGTGGCAAGCATCTTAAGATGTAACCGTGTAGCACACACTGCCCATTAGTTCTCCATCAGAATAACATTTCAGAGGCCATTACAAGCCATTTGTGTACTAGCTCAGCTTTAGGCAGACCCTGCTGCGTTATCTGGAGTCAGATCCACACAGCCATGTACACATTTGGGTCTTTAAAGAAGGTATTTTAACACTGGGTGATAGATATGTAAACAAAAGGGGCATTTTCCTTCAAGGGTTTCCTATTTTCTATGAACCACAGAGCTAAAAACATGCAACAGCTCCTCATGTATAAAAATATCTGCTTGAATGAACAACACTTTACAGCAAGATCTGAGATCTTCTCTTACATTTCACAGCACCAACAAACCAGCTGCACAGTCCTTGTGCTTAGCAATAAACTAGAAGAACCCTGTACATAGCAAAGGACCATTTCCTTTCCTCACATCAAACACAAACACTGCAGCAAAAGGGACTCTGAAAGGCTGGAACATCTTGGGCTGGTCTCACAGTGCAATAATTGTCACTGAATTGTACTGAAAACAGTGCTCCTTTAGAATTTCTCAATGTTTCTATTACTTACCAATCACTTGTAGAAATTCAGTGTTGCTGATCTGTGAATCACTGATGCTAAAAGTCTCTTCCTGTCTCACCTCTCCCAGCAGAAATCCTTCCTACAATTTTAAAGGGGGAAAATAAAAAGGACTAAAAATAGAATAGACTAAATAAAAAAGACTAAAAATACCCACTCTATCCCTTCGTTTGCTGTAACTCACTTAGCATTAAATGGAAGAATTCAAACAAAGATTGAGTTTGAAATAAGTATCAGAGCTGCAGTAGGTATAACCTGTCCTCAGATTTACAGACTGAGTTTCTTATTTACCAACATCCTTTCACAACGGGTTGTCCAAATATTCCACTGGAAGCTTCCATAGGTGACACAACTTGTACAAGGAAAGCACAGGTTACATCACGGAGAGCTCTGCCTCCAGTCCCAGGCACACGGTGGATGAGGAGGAGGCCTGAGTATGGTGGTTCTGGACAACCTGATCTAGTTGAAGATGTCCCTGCTCATGGCAGGGGGGTTGGAACTAGATGATCTTAAGGTCCTTTCAAACTCAAACCCTTCCATGATGCACAGCACCACTACTACTCTGGTCCATCAAAGAGAACGGGACGTGGGGTCTACATCTGCAGAGGCTTATTCAAACTTACACACAGAGATTGGGCTCAATTACACACTCACACCACGTTTCCACACGCGTCTTCCCGCCTGGAGCCCATTCCCCGCGTGTGCTGCGAGAGCCCCG